TTTACCTGAATTACTACTCTATCCTGACCACTTTCCTCACTAAAGATGAACAGTAAAATTACCTGTCCTTATGTATGGAGTTTCACATATTTGAGTTTTACATGTTAGAGCTCTGTCAGCTAAGAATGAAATACTTCTGGCCTTGAAAAAGCATGGCTAGGTATCTCAAGAATGTCCATGATGACACAAAATTCAGTGGGAAAAAGTAAACTAAGAAGACCTGTGGAAGAATTTTGTGATACTTACACTGGGCAAAAAACCATTAATCACAAAGTAATGTACATAGGAAAAACAACCCTAACAAATATAATGATGGACGATGTTCAGATCTATGGAGGTGCAGTATTAACACTGCATGTCATCAGATCTTGAGAGAGAGAAGGTAGAACTGGAAAATTATAGGGGAGAATGTCAAAGTTAATGAGACATAAATAATTATTTCCATACAAGGAGAGATAAAATAGATTAGTGTTGTTTGCCTTGTTATGTGGAGAGGGATTATTGGTTTATTTCCTGTTACTGGAAGAACTAGATGTTGACAGGGAAATAAGCATACCTAAAGTAAAGATTTTTTCAATAAATTAAACTATGAATCTCATTGCTCTTTGGATGACAAAAAGTTAAATTGGTCCTAAAGTGATTAAATCAAAGGAACAAAAATGTAGCAAAGGCTCTTGAACACAGTCATGTGTCCTTTTGTGAGTCTCTGATCTCAAGATTTCCGGAATGTTGGAAGATACACAAATGAATTGTATTTTATATATATATCCAGAGATGAATACAACTGAATGAACACTTAGTTTGGTTCAATGTGGCTATTCACCCTGATATATTGCACTATATTATGCTACAACTGAAAGAAGTGAAGCAGAGTAATATTTAATAATTTGATTAAGATAAGCAGTGCAGACAACAGCAAAATCCACATCTCGTATCCAAGGCCTGTAAGTAGAGAGCTCTGTAATAGGACAGCTGTCATCAGAGTTATGGTGGCCTCAGAAAAAGTTAAGGTATGTATCCAAATGTCACCATGCTTGCCCAGTGAATGATTGTCCCCGCTCTCTTAGCTCAGATTCATGGAGCATCTATGGCCTACAGTTATTAGTAGTTACCCTCATCCCTCTAGTCAGCATTAGTTGAAATTCCCTCCTTAGGAGTCTTCTCATATTATTTATAGGAGATTTAATCACATAGCTAGTGAGAGACCAAAAATTTCTAATTATATCTAGTAACATCACTTTCCAGTTTTCAGTTCGTTCGGTTTGCCAGACAATGCTTTGCCAAAAACAAGGTTTGCCAAAAATGCTTTGCCCAAAGACAGAGCAGGCATTTGCAGCATGTGCTGACCAGACTCTATAAAAGAGTCCTTGAATCTGGGCTGTCCTGTCTCCACACAAAGCTTCATGGTAAGTGCATGTCTGTGGCAGGCAGAAAGGGACAGCGTCCCTGCAGTCCACATGTCCCACTTCAGCCCTGCTTTCCTGGTGTACGTATCTGTGTCTGCAAGGATTTAAAAACTGTAAGATAAAGCATTTTGGTATTTTCACTTTGTGACCTGCCTGTGGAATTCTGTGCAGCAGTAATGAAGGATCTGCCATTTCTGCTTTACAGCACTGATCGCCTTCCAGCCTGCAAGGCATCTTCTCATATCGTAAGAGGTAAGAGCCTAATTTACTTACACTTAAGGGACATACAAAAAGGTGGCAGATTTCTGTAGAACAGATTTCTTTGTGGAGACAAACTTCTGTAAAATTTTGTGGGCAATTGCTGTATGCCCATATATTCCTAACCACTGCTTGGCTATGGTAAATACAGCATGCTGATGGTTGGGTAGGCTGCTCATGGCAAGCAAGCTTTCCAATGTGGCTGTGCTTGAAGCCACTAGCCACTGATGTCGTGTCAGGAAATGCTTCTTGGGGATTCCTCATGTTTAATTATGGATCAGTGAAGTAAATGATCTGTTCTGGCATGAAGTCTAGATAGACAGAGCCAGCAAACAGAACAGACTGTTGCAAAATCTTAAAGGTTTGTAACAAATTATATGCATTACAGTATATGATACTGGCCAAAAAATTACATTAAAATACTTTTCAGATGATACTGCCAAGGTTATAGTCTTCATGTGGGCCTTGTTCTAGGAAACCTGGTAAAAATGCAAAAATCAACTATCCAACTACACAAAGAAACAAAAAAATGAGATGTACTGCTCCTATTCCTCTGAAACAAAACAGAGTTAAGTGGAGGATCTGCATGTTACTAGGAGTTGTTGCAAATGTTAACATTTGGTTGGCTTATTTAGGTAACTAAAAGTCATGACATGACAGCTAAATAAGTTGTCTGCTTGTCTAACTTCCTAGGAACTCAGGTGCTTTCTATTACTGGACATGTGGTATTTCCTGGGAAATCCTCCATTTAGATATCCAGCTTTGATTTATAAATTCCTGAACTAAGGTTTACATAGGAACTTTAAATTCCTTTACAAAAGGAACTTTGTATATAATTATTTTCATAATAATTAGCATACAAAGAAATAATTAATGATGCAGTATTTCAACTTACTGTATTATCTGTCTTTGTATACCATTTGCTCACATACTACTTCCCAGAGTTAAGTCACTTGCAACAGATTTCTGCCATTGTTAAGGAAATATGAGTGCAGTTGATTTAAGGTGACAGCCATGCTAAAACTTAAGCATGAGATCAAATAGGAAGTTAACTATAGCTTATAAACTGAAGTTCTTGGACAAAGGAACATGAGAGAAAAAAAAAAAAAAAGTCTTGTTTCATGCAGACAGAACAGATCTCCAAGATTTCCAGTATGACTTTCTTAGATCATTGAAATTGTTCTATTGTCCACACACAGGATTATTTCTAATTTAGACCTGGGTATATCTTTCAGTCGTAAACCAGAAACAAATTTGTTTGTATCTCTAAGATTCCTGAAGGGCACAATTTGATAAGCAAAGGGGGCCCAGATAGTACTGGCTAATACAGCTGATTCACAGGTCATTTCAACAATATGCAAGTGGTTCTACACACCTTATCCCTACTTTATAATCAGAATCCATGCTAAAAAAAAGGAGGCTGGAATCCAAGCTTCCTTTAGCCTGAGGGGGTTTGATTTGCCCCACTCATGCTTTAGATGATTGCCCTTGGCTGGAAGACGTTCTTCATCACAGGACCCTTCTTTCTGTTGGAGGAACTGTGTTGTTGTGCAACCAAGAAGGCAACATTCATCAGTATGGCAGAAAGACGAGCAAGATGCAAATTGCTGGAAGGGCGTAGTTGTTCAGAATCTGCACTTGGTGTTTCTGGCCCTAAAACAGACATGACACAGAGTGAGAAGGTGCATTCCGTATTTCAAAGACTGATGTTACAATGCTGGGCTGCTTAACAGATTCTGATGAGAAGCAAACGACTCTAGTGAATGATTCAGAGTACCAGAAAAGACATCATTAATTAATTAGTCCTCAAAACACCTTCTGGACTCCCCTACCTCTATTTTGTGTATGAGCAAGCAAGGCTTTTAATGTGGGCTTTTTACTTTGGTAACTCCAGGTAAGTGGTGTGAATATTCTCTTCCTCTGGCATGGTTTCTTACTGCAATGGTTCAGTTCTGCTTTCAACTCATTCCTTTCCTTTTAAAGCTTTGAGCTTACAAAATTGCAAGTGCTTTACTGGTGTCACATTCAGTCACAGTAGCTTTGTAACATTACTCCACAAATACTTTCATTTAGAATTTTCCTGGTGAAATGCCCAATCTCCTGGGGCCCATCAATCTAACTGGAAAGAGCAAGTTTTTGAGGAAGGGTTGGGGACCCTAGAAAGAGAACATGAAAAGAATGTATACATTGCCCTACTCAGGCATATGTGACTTAGCCATTACCCAAAGTAATGTAGACGTCTAGAAATGTAAAAAGAAACACAAATCTTTCAATTGTCACTTTTCAAAATTTGAATCAGATTATAGAAGCCATCAGTGCTAGAAATATGTCAGTGCTAGGAACTTCATATTTATCTTCACCATTAAGCAACACAAATGATGGATGTAATGCATCCTCAGGAGTTGGGCAGATGAGGTCAAACAAAGGGATTCATGAACATGCTACAGAGCGATGTTACCCTTAAAAAGGCTCCAAAAGGTCTTCAGCCTGAAGCTCACAAGAACCTCATGTATTTTAGCAAAGGCAGTGTGAAGTGCTGCATGTAGGAAGGCCCATACCAAGGATAGGTTGGCTGTTATTTGGCTACAAAGCACCTTTGCAGAAAAGGGTCATGTGTTCTGGTGCACATGTGTCAGCAGGGTGCCTTTGGGGGAATCAAGGTCAACAGCACATTGTCAAGCACTCGTAATGATTGTAGCCAGCAGGTAAAGGGAAGTGATTGTTCCGCTGCATTCAGCTCCCACATCTGGACCACTCTGTCCATTTTGGTGCTTCCTGGTGACAAGAAAAATATTGACATTCTGGAGTGAGTCCAGTAGAGAGCTTCCAACATAGGTAGGAGAAAATGATGTATGAGGAGAGGCTGAAAGGGTGGGATCTGTACACTGTGGAGACAAAATAAAAATGTGGTTGTCTTATTAGTATCTTCTACAAAATGTGGACTCTTCTCAGATGTGCAGAGTGACAACAATGAGGGACAACAGACAGGAGTTGCAGCAATAGAAATTTTGATCAAGTATTAGGAAGAAACAAATTTACCAGGAGGGTGGTCGGACATTAAACAGGGATGAAGAGGGACTGAGGAATCCTCATTCTTGCAGATAATAAAAACTTCACTGGAAAAGGCTCTGGGAAACTTGATCCAAATTTTGCCCTGCTTTGCACAGGAAGGTGGAATAAAGAACTGCCTGAGATTCTTCCCAAGAAACACATTCTATGATGCTCTTTAAGTTTTTTAATAAACTGCACGGTAACAAAAAATGCTGATTCATTTGGACAACGTATCTGCTATTCCACAGTATTCTCTACTGACAAGGCCCCCCATAAAGTGCAGCCATGTCATCAGATGCTGAGATGGCCATCTTTGGGCAGGCAGCCCCTTACCTCCGAAAGTCAGAAAAGGAGAGAATTGAGGCCCAGAACAAGCCTTTCGATGCCAAGACATCCGTCTTTGTGGTGCATCCTAAGGAATCCTTTGTGAAAGGAACAATCCAGAGCAAAGAATCAGGGAAGGTCACCGTCAAGACTGAAGGTGGAGAGGTGGGTAAAATAAAAGACTTACTTACAAACAGCATTAAATTCCCACTCTGGGCTCTTAGCTGACGTGCATGTACCTTTCATTCTTCTGACAGACTCTGACCGTGAAGGATGATCAGATCTTCTCCATGAACCCTCCCAAGTACGATAAAATCGAGGACATGGCCATGATGACCCACCTCCACGAACCCGCTGTGCTGTACAACCTCAAAGAGCGTTACGCAGCCTGGATGATCTATGTAAGTACCAGCAGCAGTCTTCCTTTGGGTAGCTGGAGGAACTGCTCTGCCAGGCTACGTGGAAGCCAACGTGCTGCCTCCCTTCCTCGCAGACCTACTCGGGTCTCTTCTGCGTCACTGGGGCCTGTCTGCGTCTCCTGTCAACCCCTCCAAGTGGCTGCCGGTGTACAACCCGGAGGTGGTGTTGGCCTACCGAGGCAAGAAGCGCCAGGAGGCCCCTCCACACATCTTCTCCATCTCTGACAACGCCTATCAGTTCATGTTAAATGGTGAGTAGCTTGATATCCCTTCAAATGATATTGTGTGCACTTCAGGAAAAAAATCTTCCTTTTCTCTGCAGATAATCTTTGAACATATGGAGTCATGTTTACATCATCTATGACAGCTGAGTAACCTAGAATGGCCATCTTTAAATGGCACATAAGGCACACTGGGAATGTTGTAGAAGGAAGACTGGAAATTAAGTTTTGTAATTGCAGAGTACAAAGTCTGATGGAAAGCAAATTAGCAATGTTACAGAAGTGCTGGTGCTCTTATCTTAACCAAAAGCATGGAATGAAACATAACTAATACGATATCCATGCCAGAAAGTAAGAAAGAATTGCTATAAATTGAAATTCCAAATCCAAATAAGTGCATTATCAGAGCTTTCTTACTGCCTTTGAACCCCAAATGATCAGGGATTGTCAGATGAAGGAGACAGAGCCTAAAAGGCAGGAGATACAAAGGAAAATGGAAGACTGGCAGAATGGTTAGCTAAAAAACGGCTATTACCTCTGAAGAACAAGATCTCAGACTTACAATGAATAAGGCTAGAGAAATTTTGGCTCAGTGCTTATTAGGGCAGAAGAAAACAAAATGAACTTTAGGAATTATTTGTGGGAAAAAAAGAAAACAAATAGAGCAATAGTTCCATGACACAATATTCCATTAAAAAGTGGAACTTTTACATCTGGAAAAATGCAGTCAGTTCCAGTTTTCTCCTGGTAAAAAAGGAAAGA